ACTTGAACCCAGGAGATGGATGTTACAATGAGCCAAGATCACACCACTACACTCCAGCCTGGATGACAGAATGAGACCCTGTCTCAAAAAAAAAAAAAAAAAAATTGCATAGCAAGTCCTTTTACATGAGGATGAGTTACTGTTTATCTTGAGAGCACGTATGCAATGGATTGTATCTGCCGGGCTATATAAAAAGGAGGCTTTGGCCAGGCGCCATGGCTCACGCCTATAATTCCAGCACTTTGGGAGGCCTAGGCGGGCGAATTACAAGGTCAGCATTTCGAGGCCATCCTAGCTAGCATGACAAGACCCTGTCTCTACTAAAAATACAAAAAATTAGCCAGGTGTGTGGCACGCGCCTGTATTCCCAGTTACTTGGGAGGCTGAGGCAGGAGAATCACTTTAACGGGGGAGGCAGAGGTCGCAGTGAGCTGAGATTGTACCACTGTACTCCAGCCTGGGCAACAGAGTCAGACTCTGTATCAAAAAAAAAAGGAGGCTTTATTTCTCTTTGCATCTCATTAATGGATCACCTGTGATGGGCATCACAGTCTGGTTTAATGTTTATTCAATAATAAAATTGTTTTCTTTATTTTCTGAATTTGTGGAGAGAATATTCTAGGTTAACAGAAGAATTGATTGATTGATTGATTGATTGATGGAGTCTAGCTCTGTCACCAGGCTGGAGTGTAGTGGTGTGATCTTGGCTCACTGCAATCTCCGCCTCTCGGGTTCAAGTGATTCCCCTGCCTCAGCCTCCCAAGTAGCTGGGACTACAGGGGCACACCAACACACCCAGCTAATTTTTTGTGTTTTAGTAGAGACGGGGTTTCACCATGTTGGCCAGGATGCTCTTGATCTCCTGACCTCATGATCCGCCCGCCTCGGCCTCCCAAAGTGCTGGGATTACAGGTGTAAGCCACTGTGCCTGGCCTCAGAAGAATTTATTTTTAGTCTTTTCCTTACCAGTTTTTATGAAACGACTGGGCAAGAACACTGTTAGATTTCACCAAAAAATTGTGATGAATCATTGTCCTTATGATCCCATTTTTGAAAATTGACATTTTAATTGTAAACCAAAAATAAAATTCTAACCCCAACTGACTGACCGGACTCCGCTGTTCGCCAACAGGATCCAAAATAAACATGAAAAACTAATTCAGGTCATGACGGGAAGGAGAGGGTCAGACATACCTTGTCATACTCTCCTCCCGTCAGAGTTTAGGCACAGCTGACCAACATTAGTATTAGAATACAGGTCATAAGACTGACAAAACAGGCTGTTTGTATCAGTAAGATACCCAACTCCAACAGACTCTGATATAGCACCACATGACAGATAGCAGTCCCTGAAGGAAATCATAGTATTTTACCCTGTAATATATTTTCTTTGACACACTTTAAGATAGTCCTGCAAAGCCATCTCTTTGGGGGAAATTTGCATTCTGTAGAGAATCTCCTTCCCTTACAGAAAAGACTTCAGGTCTCTTCTGCAGAGTCTGACACCTTTTAAGATCCAATAAGAGATATTTATCATCTATTCTCTCTGAAGCCTGTTCTGAGGCTTCACCTACATAACAAGAACCTTGGTTTCCACAATCCTCATTATCTTAACTCAAGCTTTTCTTTTCTCTTTTCTTTTCCTCCTTCTTTTCTCTTCCTTCCTTCCTTCCTTCCTTCCTTCCTTCCTCTGTTTCTCTCTCTCTTTCTTTCTTTTCTTCTTTGTTGCCCAAGCTGGAGTGCAGTGGCACAATCATGGCTCACTGTAGCCTCAACTTCCCAGGCTCAAGAGATCCTCCCATCTCAGCCTCCTGACTAGCTGGGACTACAGGAAGGCACCACCACACCTGGATAATTTTTTTTTTGTAGAGGTGGGGGTCTTGCTCTGTTGCCCAGGCTGTCCTTGAACTCGTGGCCTCAAGGGATCCTCCCAGCTCCCCCTCCCAAAATGCTGGGATTACAGGTATGAGCCACTGCAATGACCCATTTCTTTATGTAGTCTTCCAGCTGTTCAGCCAATGCTTAACTCTGAACCAAGTGCCAATCTTTGAATCTACTAGTGACCTGAAACCTTTTCCTGGCTGACCCAATGTATACCTCCCATGTATTGATTGATGTCTTTGCCTGTAACTGCTGTCTCCCTGAGATGTATAAAACCAAGCTGTAACCCAACCACTTTGGGCTCACGTTCTCCGGACCCCCTGAGGCTGTGTCACCAGCCATGGTCATTCAAACAGGCCCAGAATAAAACTCTTTACACACTTTGACCCTTTTTGGTCAACATAACCTAACCCTAAACATAATCTTCCTGGGGAAGGTAAGATCACAGGCATCTCTTTTCTTCGTTCGATTTGTGTGTGTATTTCCTGATTTCTCTACAGTTTTTAGGCATTCGCTGTGTGATCTAGAAAAGCTACGTTGTCTCGCTCCATCACCAGGCTGGAGTGCAGTGGCGTGATCTCGGTTCACTGCAACCTCCGCCTCCCGGGTTCAAGCGATTCTTCTGCCTCAGCCTCCCCGAGTAGCTGGGATTACAGGCACGCGACACCATGCCCAGCTAATTTTTGTATTTTTAGTAGAGACGGGGTTTCACCATATTGGCCAGGCTGGTGTCTATCTCTTCACCTCGCGATCCGCCCTCCTTAGCCTCCAAAGTGCTGAGATTACAGGCGTGAGCCACCGCGCCCGGCCACAAATTCTATTTTCTTTTTCTTCCTTGGAAAGCATCGCTGGGCATTTATCCTGTCCTAGTATTTGAGTGAAACTTCTCTTAGCATTTCAGCGGAGTGACCATGATACTCCCTTTCCTTTCCTTCTCGTTATGGGAAACTCGGTTCTAACCCAGAGGCCTTGGGCTCCAGGACCCAGTCAGGCAGCCCTGAACTTGACTCTAAAAGGGAGTAAAGACAAATGCGAAATTCAGTCCAGAGTTCAGGGATTCCAAAGCTCATAGCCTAGAGCTTCTTAACCTTTAGGCGAGGTAGAGACATTTAAAACAGCCCCTAAACTTGAGGAGCGCGTAGGCTCACGGGAAATAGAGTCCGGTACTCGTCCTGCGACCAGCGGCGGGCCCTGAGAGGCGGACTTCCGGTGCACTCCTGTGCGTGTGCACTGTTCTCTGTGTGCAGGTTCGCGCATGCGCGCCGCCGCCACACTGCCCTCGCTTCCTGTGCGTCCTCAGGTCACCGCTTGCTCTGGTTCCCAGGCTTTGGCCTCCAGTGGACGGGAATCGCGGAGCTTGCGGGGCTGGACGCTGACCGCCAGGGCCAGCACCTAGGCGGGCGCGGAGCTGTGCGGGGCAGGGTTCGCGCGGGCCCGAGGGAGGCTCGAGCGGGGATCCCGGAGCGTGAGCCCCGGAGTCGGCGGCGCTGGGGCCACAGGGGCCTGGCGGGAGGTGGCGGAGGTGGCGGAGGCGAAGGGGCGGCAGGAGCCGGGCCTGGCCCGTGTGTGTCCTCGGCGGCCTGGCCCAGGCCGCTGTTGTACGGTGAGCCCCAGGGAGGCGGATCTGGGCCGCGGGAAGGACACCCGCCTGGATTTGCTCCTAGGCCCGGCCCGGGCCCGTCGGGAGCAGAACAGCCTTGGTGAGGTGGAGAAGAGGGAACCTCGCGAGCAGACGCGCGACAGCAGGCCCGCCCCGGCCTCTCGGGAGCCGTGGGGCAGAGGCTGCGGAGCCCCAGGCGGGTAGGTCTTGGGTTTTCGGGCCTGGAGCGAGAAGGGCCTGGGTAAAGTCACCGTGCGTTGGGGACCTTAGAGTGTGGGGCAGGGGGAGGGTCCCGATCGTTTGCAGGAGAGACGTGTGTTTCGGTTTGAGGGCAGGGTCCGGCTGCACCGAACAGGCGCTGCATGGGAAGATCTGGGAGGACGAGGCTTACGGGGACGTGGAGGGTGTCCCCAGCCTCAGCTGCGGACGTCGTCTCCCCTCCCTACTAACCCCTAATAGCCCTTCCTCCTCCTCTCCGTGCTCCAGATTTCGACCGCCTCTAAACGTCTGTCAGCACCTCTGTTCTCTCATTTAAGTGTCTGCTGATTCCCCCCTTAGATCTGCCCTGGAGAATGGTAGTAATGCAGGAACAGTCTGCAGGGATCTCTCTTGCTGTCTCAGTTGCTAGGGGAAGAGGCTGGGCCTTAGCAGGTGGACGACTTGACCAGGTCACCGGCTTTGTGGGTAGAGGTGCTCATAGTAGAGCTCAGGAGTTTTATCTCCCAGGCCAGTGTTCTTTCTCCCGTATCCTAGTTTTCTTAATAGAAGATTATTAGGTGCAGCAATAACCAAATTCAGTTAGATAATTTAGAAACAAAGCCATATTTTATACACATTCCTTTCTGAGAGCTCACATACTCGATTCCTGTGGCTTTTTTGATTTTAAGCAGTTTAAAGAGACAATAAGGAAATGCGGGCGGATACAGTGGCTCACACCTGTAATCTCAGCACTTTGCAGGGCTAGGGCAAGAGTATCCCTTGAGACCAGGAGTTAGAGACCAGCCTAGGCAACATAGGGAGACCCTGACTCTACAAAAAATACAAAAGTAGCCAGGCATGCTGGGATGCACCTGTGGTCCCAACTACTCAGGAGGCTGAGGTGGGAGGATCGATGGAGCCCAGGAGGTCGAGGCTGCAGTGAGCTGTGAATGCAACACTGCACTCCAGCCTGGGTGGTAGATTGAGACCCTGTCTCAACAAACCACAAAAATCACTAGCCGTATGATGGGATTTTTTTTTTCTTTTTGCATGATGGCAGACTATTTATAAAAGGAGTCATGTTACCCATGAGAGTCTAACTCGTCTAATTACTACCTGATTATCTTAGAGTTACAAAGTTACAAGTGCATGCTTCCCCATCACTCGTGTGTGTGTGTGTGTGTGTGTGTGTGTGTGTGTGTTGAGACAGTGTCTCTCACCTAGTCTGGAGTGGAGCAGTGTGGTTTCGGCTCACTGCAACCTCTACCTTCCAGGTTCAAAGGATTCTAGTGCCTCAGCCTCCTGAGTAGATAGGACTACCGGCATGTGACACTACGCCTGGCTAATTATTTTGTTATTTTTAAGTAGAGAGGGGATTTCGCCATGTTGGCCGAGGCAGGCTGATCACTTGAGGCCAGAATTC